GAGGCTGCCCAGGCCGGGTGCTGCTCCCTCAGCCTGGGCCTGCGGCAAAGGCTCCCGCAGTGAGGAAAGGTGCGACAGAACCCGGGGGGGAATTAATAATAGCACTAATAACGATATTAGGGTGACGGGTGCCTCCTCCTCTGAGGACTTGGGGTATCAGCATCCTCCTGTTGCTGCCTTTTGGCCACTCTCCCCGCGATGCTCTCCTGCAGCAGCCCTCGGCTTTGGATAGAAGCACGCACAAAGAGCCCAGGAGGGGACATGGGGGGGACAGGAACAGGGCAGGGACGGGGACAGGGACGGGGCAGGGGCTGCCCGGCCGTACCTTGTCGTTCTGGTAGGCGGTGACGGCGATGAAATCGGTCTCGGGGAACACATAGGTGCGGAAGGTGCTGTAGGGCAGCTTGAGGATGTCGTTGGCCCGCACGATGTGGAACCGGGGCTGGTACTTGTGCATGGAGTTCAGGATGGTCTGGGGGGGCGAGAGAGCACAGCCCGCGGCCGCGGTCAGCCCCGGGGACCCCATCGCTGCCACGCGCGAGTCAGGCTACCTCTCTAAAAAATCGCTTTTTTTTTTTTTTCTCCCGAAAAAAATAAAAATATAATAGTAATAATTCAGCGTGAGGAAGGAATGCCGGCGGATGCCAAAGAGGGAGATTTCTTTTTTGTTTATGTCATTGCACGATCTGCCCCCAAATAAGGAGGTCACGGGGAAGGCAGGCACTGCAACATCTTGGGGAAGGCACGGCAGGAGAGTAGCTATGGGCATCTCCCCGGTTTATTGCAACCCTGAAAACACGAGGCGAATTTTCGACACATTTCTAGCCGCTTTTAATAGTTCCGTCCTTTTCAAAAAATTCCTCTGCCTCGCCACCGAAATAAATAAATAAATACAAATGAAAAAGACCCGAGATTTGCAGTTGGGCGCAGCAGAAAGCTGTGCCAGCTCCTGCGACCTGAAAGGAGCATTTCACTAAGAGCCATGTTAAATTCATGTCTCAGAGCAACGCTGCAGAAGGAACAGACATTTTTTTTTTTCCAACCAGGTGTCTGAAAAGCTTCGCCAACACCCAGAGCGATTCTCTCCCCTCTGCCTTTGTTAAAAAGCTCACCCCGAGCCCACCGCGGTTGCGTTGAGGATTTGTGGAGCCCCTGAGCCGCGAGCGGGGCTGCTCCCGAGCCCCTGCCCTCACTGCCCGCCCCGGCAACATTTTTCCTGCCCGAGAGCGATGGAATAATTCCCCAACCTGCTGTGGTCGGGCTGACACGCAGCCCCAACCGCCCGGAATTGGTAGGGGAACGGCGAAAGCTTGAGTAATTATTGTCAAATAACGCCGGCCAAATGGCTAAATAATTATCACTTCATTTCGTTTTAGAAGGCAATAAAAAAAATCCCCCTTTTTCTAACCCCAGCAATAATCACCTGCTGATGAACTGTCGGGTCGCTATTATATTGATATAATCTACACGGGATTTATCATGAAAATGGTGAAAAGAAAAAAAAAAAAAGTCTCATTCAAGCGTGCAAATCTGCATTCCTTTAAAAAAAATAATCATCCCTCTCTGACCAGATGGGCACTGACTAAACCCTCATCTCCCAGATTTAACACACTCCGGATTTTGGACAACGACACGTACCAGAAATCTTTAATTGAAGGAGGCGAACCGTTAAAAACGCTGAACCAAACTACTTTTTCCCCAGTACCAAAAAATGCTATTTATGAGACTCCCTCGCTATCGATTTACCTTGCTGCCTATAAATAGCCTCGCAATGTATTATTTAACAAACACACCGTTTCCTGCCTAAAAAAAAAAAAATAATAATAAGAAGAAAAATAATAAGAGAGAGGGGAAAAAAGTTTCTCGGGAGCCGCTCCCCGCACCTGGCCGCTCTCCGGGCGCTGCGGGCAGAGCAGCACCGAGGCCTCAGGACTGCCAGTCCCCAGAGCACAAGGACGGGCCGAGGAACTTTCCCTTTATCGCCCCAAATGCTGGCCCAGCCGCTAAGACAGCTCTCTCGTTCGCTGTGATTTTTTTCCCCTCGCCTTCACGCAGGACCCCGCTCCCCTGCAGCCCTGCCCCTGCTTTCTGCAGCTTGCCAACACGCCTCCATTTCTTTCTTTCTTTCTCTCTCCCTCTCCTTTTTTTTTTCTTTGTTTGGATGGATTTTTTTCTTTTCTTTTTTTCTGTTTTGTTTTTTTGTTTTTCCCCTCCGGGAGGTGATACAAATGTGATCAAGAGGGGAATAAACAGACCCTTTTGGAGCCTTTCAGACCCAGCCGGTGCCGAGCCGCTGCTGCCAACGGCTCCGGCTCCGCTCCCGGCCGCGCAACCCCAGCGCAGGTGCCGCCGCCTCCAGCACCCCTCTGCCCGGCTCGGCTCGGCCCGGCCCGGCCCGCAGCGAGGTCCGGGGCTGCACCTGCCCTGCCGCAATGCCCCAGCCCGGCCGCCCCGTCGGGGCTCCCCTCGCCGCCCCCAGGTTAGCCCCGTCCGCGCCCCCCGGGCTGCGCCTCCCCGGCTCCCGCTCCCCGCCGAGCCCCGCGGCCAGGCAGAGCCGGCAGGACGGGCCGGGGGGGAGACATGCGGGAGCCTAGGGGACCCCGAGCACCCCCGCAGCCCAGCCCCTGTTCCCCCCGGGGGGAGCCGTCCCCGGGACGGCCGGCAGCAAGAACCAGGGAGGGCTTCGCGACAGCCCGGCCGCTGCAAGGCCCGGCAAGGCCCCGCCGTCCAGCCCGGGTCCGGGCGTGCTTTTGCCGGGGGGAGGAAGCCGGTAAAGCCCCACGGCTCCCCCCGGCCCTGCCCGGTCACAGTGGGGCTGGGCTCAGCGCCTGGCCCAGGGGGTCCGCGCCCGGGGGCTCTGCTCGTCCCCGCGGCCACACTTACAAAGCCGTGCTTGTCCGAGATGTTGTTGGTGAGCTTGAGCTTGTGAAAGGCGACGGGCTTGGCCATCCACTGCTCGCCGGTGGCCGGGCTGTCGGGGTGGATGTACATGCGTTTGGGCATCTCCGGGTCGGCCTTGCCGGCCACCATCCAGCGGGAGTTGTGGAACTTGTACCGGCAGTCGTCGGCCGCAACTATATCCATGAGCAAAATGTACTTGGCCTTCTTGTCCAGGCCGCTCACCCGCACCTTGAACGGGGGGAACATCCTCCTGCGGAGAGACGCACAGCGGTGCAGGGCGCGGCGCCCTCCCGCCCGGTGCGCGACCCCCGACGGCCGCGGCCCCCGGCCCGGCCCGGCAGCCCCGCACCGCCCGGCCCCTCCGAAACCACGGGGTGTGTGTGTGTGGGGTTCTTCAGCTCGCCCCGGGTCTTCCCAGCCTTTGGCACGGCCGGCAGGCCCTGCTCCTTCTCATCCCACTCGGCTGCGCCCATAGGAGCAGAAAGAGGGGGAAAAGCTCCAAATCCCCTTCCAAGAAATAGGGGGCAGAGCCCAAGGGGGTCCCCGGACCGAGCCCTTTTTCACTGCTCTCCTTTGCCTCCTCCGGGGCCGGCAGCGGGGCCGGGGCCGACCCCGGCGGCAGGGAAAGTTTGGCAGGGGCAGGAAAAGCTGCGGGCGGCGAGGAGCCGCCGAGAGCGGCGTAAACAAATACAGCGGGGGATTGCGGGAGCTCAATTAGTGCACAGAAATTTCATTTGGGATCGCACTTTAAAAAGTAATAACTGCGGGGGGGGAGGCGGGAGGGTTAGCTGGCGGGGGGGGTTAAATCCAAACTCCTCCAAAAACTGCCCGCATCGAAACCCCATCGACTCTCGCCCGGGGTGAATTCCCCGGGGCGAGCTGGGCGAGCAGCGGGGAAGGGCTGGGGGCGGGGGGCGAGGGCGCTGCGCAGCCCCGCAGGTGCGGGCGAGTTGCGCGGGGCTGCGCGGGGCCGGCTCTTACCTTCCCGACTTGGTGATCACCATCTCGGTGCCCAGCTTGTGAAACTGGTCCCAAAGCTCTTTGGCTTCCAGCGTCACTTTGGGGTCGTCCTCTACCTCCTCCTCGGGCTCCAGGCTCTTGAGCGAGCGCAGATGGGCTGCCTGGTGGTGGTGTCCCAGGGCCGAGACGTGCAGCCCGGCCTCGGCCGCCCCGGCCAGCCCGGGGTCCGGCATGGGCTTAGCCAGCGCCGCCGGAGGCAGAGCCAGAGCGGGGAAAAAGGAAGGCTGGGCGGCTGCGAGGAAGGCGGACATGGGGAAGTCGGCCGGCCGGGGTGCGTGGAAGGGGTGGTAAGCCATGGCAGTCCCTGGGAAGGCTGGATCTCTCATCGGTGCATCCACAAATCCAGGAGAAAAAGAGGGATTCCCTTTACAAAAACGTGTGTGTGTATTATTGTTATTGATATTATTTTTTTTGTCTCTCCTGCCCAGCGAACTCGCTCGAGTCTCTGGAAGAGGAAGGAAAAATCAACAACAAAAATAAAAAGCGCACAAAAAAAAAAAATGCCGAAAAACAGCGGAACTAGATCTGGAAAAAAAAAAAAAAAAAAGCAAAAAAAAAAAAAAGCGAGAGGCAGTTCCCGGCTCCTGGGACTCCCGGTCTGCGGAGGGGAGACAGTAGGTCCTTATTTTTTGTTGTTGTTGTCGCAGCGAGGGAGAGCGAGCGAGGGCAAAAAGCCCTCCCGGCGAAGTCCTTCCCGGCGCTGAACCGGCACCGAGAGCGGGGCGGGGGCGCGGGCAGGGGCGGCCGCGCTGCCCTCACACCCCCGCGGGCCCGGCCTGCGCCCCGGCACCGCTGCGCGCCCCGCGGCCGGCGCTCGGGCGAGGGCTGCTCATGGCTCAAGGAGCCCGGGTGGAAACGGTTAGATCTTGTCGTGATCTCTGTAAAACTGTGACTATCTCACATGTCCTTCCTGCTCTGATCCGCCCGCTAATGAGCCAAGCCCCCTTGATTGCTGATTTTACGCGTTTCAGACCAATTGTGGATCTGCATAGGCGTGGTTTTGACAGCTCCGGCCAAGCTCCGGGCGCGGGGAGGGGGGGGGGGGGGGGGGGCGAGGAGGGAGGGAGGGAGGGAGGACGGGAAGAAGGGAAAAAAAAAAAAAAGAAAGAAAAAAAAAAAAAAAAGAAGAAGGTGTCGGAAGCATCGGCAGTAAGAAAACATGTCAACAGAATAAAATATTAACCAATGACAGAGAAAAGTGCTCGAAATCCCACCCCCGGCTCCTTTCCGCATACCGGGTCAGCCCTGGCTGCGCCGCGGCCGGGGAGCGGCGGCCGCCGGTGCGGGGACAGCGCGGAGCCACCGCGGCGGAGCGCGGAGCGGGACCGGGGGGGGGCCAGGGGGGACCGGGGGCCGCCCCGAAGCTTTCCGCGGCCGCGCAGCCCCGGGCGGGGGCGGAGGGGGGCGGGCGGGGGCGGCGGGTTGGGTGTGTGGGGGGGGAGGTTAGGGGGGGCCGGAGCTCGGCGGCTGCCGTCTTACGACAGATCCTGGAAAGAGGATCAAGGTGGGGCCCGCCCCGCTCCGCGCCCCGCCGACGGGGCGGCCCGGGCTCGGGGGCGGCCGTCGGGAGCGCGGCCCCGTCGGCGCGGCCGGGCCGTGGGAGAGCTGCAGGCGGCGAGGCCCCGAGCGGCGAGCTCCAGCGCGGGTGAGTGGCGGACACTCGCGCCCTGCCCTCGCCTCCCCCCTCGCCCCGACGGAGGGGTGCGTGTGGGGGGGAACCCGCCAGGAGCCGTGAGCGCACGGACGGGGCGCGGACCCCGCCGTCGGGGCGCCCCGCGAGGAGCCGGGCGGGCAGCGGGAGGCCGGGCCCCCGGGGCCGCCCCAGCCGTCGGGGCCGAGGCCCCCGAGGCTGGCGCTGCTCTGGCCGGCCGGAGGGGCTGTTTACCCGGGCGGGGGGAGGCAGATAAGGCGGAGGGGGAAATGCCGGGGCTGTTTGCAGAGGGATTAGGGCCGGTCCCGCCGCGCCGGGGCCCGGGGGGGCGGCGGGCGCGGTGGGTGTCCCCGCGGAGAGGTCCGTTTGGAGATCTGCGCTGATTAACTGAGGGCTGCGGTGGCTGAAGAGGGCCCTGGCGCCAGGCGGCTGAGCCCTCACAATAAAGACCCGTCTCTTGTCACTTCATATTTACCCCCAAATCTTCAAAAAGCGCCCTGGGAGCCTTACAAGGCTCCTGCCCCCGCCGCCTGCGCTGCGGCCAGACGGGACGGGGGGAGCGGAGGCGGGCCCCCTCCTCTGCCCCCTGGCCCGCCCCCCCCCCTCGGCCCCACCGCTCCGCGGATGCGCAGCGAGCTGCGGCCGAAGCCGCCCCCGTCCCTGCTCCGGCGGCTGCCGTCCCCTCGGGGCCGCGCTGCGCTGCTCCCCGAGCAGGGCGGGACGCGGGGACCCCCGGGTGCCCCCTTCTCGCAGCCTCCTCTCCCCTCTTTCTGCGCCCAACCACGGCTCATCCCGCTGACAGCGAGCCCTGTTCCGCCGAGAGCTCCGAGCAAAGCCCCGGCTGTCCTCGGGGCCGCTCCCCCCTGCCGCGGGTTCACCTTCGCCGCCCGGCCCCCGACGGGGCGGCCACAGCGCGGCCGCTCCGGGGCTGCCCGTGCCGGTCCCGGCCGCCGTGCGGGGCGGTGGGGCCGGGGGGTGTGGGGGGGGTCCCGCTGACCATTGAACAGAGCGAGGTGGCGAGCGGGGATTGAAATTTAGACCTGCTTTGGACTTTGCTTCCTCGCCACCGCGGAAATGTGCTGACAGCAGCCTTGGCAAAAATGGGGCTTGCTCGGGCTTTTTTTCTTCGTCCCCTCCTCCCCCCCCCCCCCATTTTGTTTGTTTGTTTGTTTTGTTGTGTTGTGTTTTCCTTCCCCCTCACAAAGCGAACCCGGAGCCTCGCCTTGCCCCACGCCGGGGGCAACTCTCCCGCGGCCCCGACGGCGACCGCGGCCACCTCCGAGGGGAACGGAGGGGCGCAGCCCACCGGGCCCTGCCGGCAGCCGCGGCCCCGCCAGGAAACGTCGCCTCTCCGCCGGCACAGGGCCTGCCGCCCCCCGCCGCCGCCCCCCGCACCGCTGTAACACCGCAAACTCCCTCGCCTGCAGAATAAAAACCGATGCAGAGCAGCCTCGTCTCCCCGACCCTCTGTGCTGCGCCCGTCGGGGGGGGAACGCGGGGTGAGGGCTGAGGGGGCCGGGCACCGTTCTCCGGCCCCGACGGACCCCAGGAGCCTGCGCCCATGGACGGGGCGGGCGGCGCGATGCGGCCGGGCAAAACCCAACGCGGCCTCGGCAATGAACGGCCCTGGGGAAGGAGAACCGCGGCCTCCTGCCCTGCCCGGCTCTCCGACACCGAGCGCTCCCCGGGCCGGGGCAGAAGCGGCCGGGACGCCCCGGGGGGACGGGACGGGCCCGGCTCAGCTCGGGGGGGATCGGCCCGGCCCGGTCGCCCCCACGCCCCACCCGCGCCGCCGCGGCCCCGCTCGCTCTTCCCTTTCATCTCTGCCCATCTCCACTCATCATCCCTTTTCTATTTTTAGCCGGTAGACTTAGGCCTTGGCGCCAGGCCGTTTAAGACCTGTCAAAGTCCTTCATATTTCCCTCATGTCACATGGACCTTTCGCTCCCTTCCCCGCGCCATGCGAGGGCCGTAATTTGGATCTGTGAGCTGGTGAGCAAATGCAATTTGCTCTTCTCCATCGCTGTGTTGTCTCCGTGACCCCAGCCAGCAGGACGGCTGGTGTCCTGTCCGGGGCACTTACACAAATTGCGGGTGATTGATGAAAAATAACAATTCTCACAAGCAGCCGGGCCTCCGCCTTCCCCTCCTCCCGGCTCCGCCGCGGCCCCGCGCCCCGGGGCTCGCTCCCCCCGACGGGGCTGCGCGGGAGGGGGGCCCGGCCCGGGACGAAGCCGTCTCCCCGTGCCCGGGGCGAGCCGTCGGGGCCCAATTCCCGGCGCAGATGCCAGGGCTGGGCGCTCCCCTCAGACACACCTGCGGCCTCTCGACACCTCCGCCCGGCCGGGCCGGAGCAGCTCCGCAGGTGCGGGGTGGGAGCTGCACCCCCCGGCCCCGCGGGGAGCCCTTGGCCCCAGCCGCGGACGCGCCGTCGGGTGCCAGCACCCCCGGGACTCTGCGGCCCCGCCAGCCCCGGGTTCCCCCAGATCCTGCTCACCCCTCTGCACCCCAACGGGAGCCGCGGGGAGCACGGCCGGAGGAAGCGGGGAGGGGGCGAGGGGCGGCTCGGAGCCCCGTCAGCTGCTCCGGCCGCGCCTCCCCGGCTCCACCTGGGAAGGAAAAACAAAAACCCCGGGGGTGACGGGGAGAGGCCCCCACCCGCTCAGGTGCCCGTCGGGGGGCGGCGGCCCTGCAGGTGGGTCGGGGAGGGGCCGGTGCCCAGCACATCCCGGGCTGTTACCGGGCCCCTCTCGGTGGGTTTTTATCCCACACCGGCCCCGGTGCGAGGGGAAACCCGCGGAGCCCCGGCAGCCCCCGGGCAGCCCCCCCCCCTCTGCCCGAATCCCCCCCTCCTTTGCCCCCAGACTGTTTAGATTTCTCTCCCGCTTTAAAGAAAATATTTCCAGTAATCCAGATTTCTGGAAAATAACAACACGCGGGGAGACGCAGACACAAACGCCGCTGAAGTTTATCCAGAGTTTGAACCACTTATAAACACATTTCCCAGCCCGCTTGTCAGGGCGGGCGGCGAGTGACCCCGGCCCGGCTGGGCAGCCCAAGGGGGGCTCGGGGGGGGCGCATCCTCCGCGCCCCCCCCGCCCTCGTTACCTCCACGCTGCTGTGAGCCGAGCCCCGCCGCTCGTTGATTTTATTTTTTAATTACGGAGCTTCCTCCCTGCGCGGGGGCGGCGTGACCCCCGCCGGGCCCCGCACCCCGGGGCTGCCCGGCTCGCCCCGTCGGGGCTGCCCCGCTCCCCCCGTCGGGGCCCGGCGCCTCGCACGCCCCGATCCCGTTCCCTTGTAGGGTGACGGACCGGGCCCGTGAGGGAGGGGGGGGATCCCGCGGCGTGAAACCCGAGCTGGCACCGCGGGGGGCGGGCGGCAGCGCGGACGGGGCGGGCGGGGTGGGGTGGGGGGGGATCATGCAAATCCCTCTGTTTAAAAAACTTCCATTTGAGAAAGTGTGTCACATCCCGGCGCGGGCGCGTAATCCCCGGGCTAATGGCATTACCGCCGCCTCATCGCCGTAATGGGATGGGGCCGGGGGCGAGCGGCGGCCGAGCCCCCCCCCCCTCCCACCCGGCCCCTCCGCCACGCGTGACGGCGGCTCGGCCCCGAAGGGGCGCGCTCCGGTCCCGGGGTAGTGAAGCCCCGGAGCCTCGGGGGGCGGCATCGCCGTTCAGGGGTGCCGGGGCCCCGGTTTTCAGCCGGGTTTCCTGAGAGAATCCGGTCCCGGGAGAGGCGAGCAGGAGGCAGCGCGGCGCTGCGTGGCCGGTTCATCTCTTAAATAAAAGAGATTAGCGAACGACGTTATTTGATCAAATAATGCTGTTACGGCTCCCGCCCCCTTCCTTTGCGGGATTAAAAGTGAGGATTTGGGACCGTTGAGCAGTCTGACCTGGATGGCGGCGGGCACAGCGGGGAGGGAGCCAGCGAGCCCCCCGACAGCCGCGGCTCGCCCACGTCGGGGCCCTGCGCTGGGCTCTGTGCTCGTCCCCCGACGGCGCGGCCCGGACGGGGGGGACAGGGCCCTGAGCACCGAGCAGAGATTTGCAAAGGGGGAAGAGCAGGAGCCGCTCCGGGGCCGTTGCCTCCCGAAAAGGGGGTCCCGAGGGTAAGGGGGGGGTCCCGGCTGGGTCCTGCTCCAGGCTTCTCCCCCCCAGTTCCTGCTCTTCTGAAGCGGGTGGGTGCTGGCCCCGCAGGGAGCAGCTCCAGCCCCGATGGGGGTGACACACCCCCGCTGGCCCTGGCCCTTCACCGTGGTCATTGTGTGGGGTGAGGAAATCGGCAGAAATCACAGCATCAAAGGCAGGGCGAAGTGAACGCTGCTGGGCTAAGTGGGGCCGGTGTCCCGGGCTTCAGACAGGGGTTGGGAATGTATCTGAAATCAAATCTGCACCAGGAGCTGACACTGCTGCTCTCCTGTCACATGAGATTATTTTTTTTTTTGTTCTAGGTTTGACTTTTAGGATTGCAGAATTCAATGTCTCATGTTTGTAGGAGAGTTCAATTCACTGCTGAGAAAATAAAGGCAGCCAAAATAAATAACGTGCTGGCCATGGCCAGGAATAAAGCTTTCTCAGTGCTCGCTGCACCTGTCCCTTTCACTGGTGTTCAATCACGGACACATCTGACACAGACCCAGCTCCGCATGGAAACAATCTCTCATCGTTTTTATTCACATTTCCTCAAAAAAGCAGCGCTGCCCTGGGCCGATCCGTCAGGGACACGGAGGCAGCGCAGTGCCCTGTGCCGAGGTGCTCCGCCGATTTTAATCTGGGCGCTGCCTGGATTTTAATTTCAAAACCAGCCTGCGCATTGAAACAGCTGAGCCACCCCTCGTGTCTCCCACTCCCAGCTTTATCCCCCTTCTCTGTAGGTGCCGGGGTGTCGAGGGGCTGTCCCGCACCGTTCGGGGGGCTCAGTAGGGGCTCGCAGTGAGCCCCAGGCCCGGCTCCTCTCCCAGCTCCTCGCCCACGTGTGCCGTGCGGCGCCGGCAGCTTGCTCTCCAGACGTGTTTTCCAAGGATACCTAAACGGAGGCAGCCCCGAATAACAAGTAAATAACCGCCCCGACGCCGGGCTGCCGGCACAAAGCAAGCAATTGCCCTTCGTGCAGGTCACTGAGCTCTTGACACACGGGCTTTGAGACCTGGGCCACGGGGAGGGAAGCTGAAAGGGAAGAAAAGATAGTGGGCACAATGGTGGGGCTAATAACCCCTCTGCCGGCTTTGTCTGGGTACACTCGGCGCTACGCAGGGATCAATTCATCTCCGCAGAAAAACCCCACTCCTGGGCTGCGAGGGGGCCGGGGCCGCCCCCACCCGGAGCGCCCTGAGCATCCCCGCGCAGGGCTCGAGACGCTGCAGGTATTAATAGCCCCCATTTTGTAGCCGGCGGTAATTCCCTCCTGTGTTTTCCCCGCCACACTGAAAACAAACCCTTCACTTGATCCGTTTGTCCTCTCCAGTTGCCATCTGTCTTCCATCCTTCAAATCTCACCTTAAAAACAGTGCCTCTTGAGCAAATCCTCCCCGCCGGCCCCGCGCGCCGTCTCGCCCGGCGCAGGCCTGACACTACAAGCGCTCATTGAAGTGAAGGGGATTTGAGAGCGTGCAGGACACGGCGGGATTAAGGCCACGGATTGCACTCCCTGGCCACAGGCTGCTGCGAGTCACCCCCTGCCCAGTGCCCCCCACCCTGTGCCCCCATGCCCGGCTCCTTCTCCTTCACACCCGGGCATCACCAGCCCTGCGAGGGCAGAGCACCTGAGCCACCGTCCCCAAAACCTGCACAAAGCACAGCAGCAGAGGTGACCTCCCTGGCCCCAGGGGACTTTTCTGTTTGCACGCACGGGGCCGGCTGCTGCCCACCACCCACCCACCGGCAGCGGGGCAGCGGCTGCAGGGCGGCCAGGCCAGGCCGGTGACTCACAGACATCAAAGGGCAGCACAGGCACTAACGAAGTCGGTGAGCGGATGAGAGCGGACAGTGCCTGCGCAGATGTTCGTCAACAGCTTTTCTCAATTACAAAGCGCAGCAGAATTTACCCGAAAGCACACGGATGAAAACAAGCGCTGCGCAGTGTCCTGGCCCTGCCTTGCACCCTCAGGGGCCCGGGCCAAGCAGCGCCTCCGCAGCTCCCCGTCCCCATTTCAGCACTGGCACTGCGTTACCCCAGGTAGCCTCGCTGCCGCCATCACCTGCTCCCATCAAAATCATGGTCTTCCTTAAAAAAAATACACCTTGTGAGGCTTTGTGGGTGTAGACGAAAGCTTGGGCATGTCCTGGTCTGATCCAAACCTTTGGAGCCAGTGCGATTTCTACTGAAAAAAATAAAAAAAAATCCCACATGATTTCACTGCATGACCTACGGCAGGGCTGGTGCCTGGTGATGTTCGGCTGGGACAGGCAAGGGCAGCCCTGATCCTGCATGGCTCCCACAAACA